AACAGACAGTCCGTTTTGCCACCCGTACGTATGAATGTGTGGTATGTTAGAAATTTGGGTATGATAATCCTGGATAACTTTGAAGAATCGTGTTCGTACACTTTCCGAACAAAGTATTTCGACCCTATTCTTGCTTGGGTTCACGAAATCTTTGTGGGGATAATTCTCGAAGAACAATCTGTTTCTGGCAAAAGAAAACTGATTACAAATATAGAGAGAAAGTATCGTTTTTCGTCTTTGAAACCGAGGCCAAATGACTCCTTATATAGGAGATCAATAACTGAAACCGAAAAGACACACCTGTTCGAAAAACAGTTATGTCGGTTGGGGAAAAGGATTCAAAATTTTCGAACGGGGCGCTGCCCCTTGGACCCCAACGGGGCGCTGCCCCGCACCCAGCCAGGGGCTCCGCCCCTTGGACCCCAACAGGGCGCTGCCCCGCACTCCGCTAGGGGCTTCACCCCTTGGAACCCCAACGGGGCGCTGCCCCGTACCCCGCCAGGGGCTTCGCCCCTTGGAACCCCGTTTCAATTATTCATATTCAATTATACATTGGCTCGACGAGCGTGCACTCCGCACTTCCCTAACTCATTTTGAAGCTTAACGCATAATTGCATCGGCCTTTAGTAAATCACGTTACTACTAAAATACATTGGTGATACTAAAATCACCAACATGGTAGGGTTCCAAGTTCTAACTGTTCAACTCTTTTCAACCACAGCTTCTTTCCCTCTCTCGACCCGCCGCTCCGAACATCCTTCTCACCTCATCCCTCCGTCGTGGACCGCTCAAATTGATGTCGCCTGCGCTATCATCTTGCCATCATAAACTTAAACCTCAAACCTCCTTCTCTCATCCTCCGCTCTTCTCCGTCTCACTTCCTCTTCTTCATCTCAAATCGCCACCGCAAACCGCCGTTAGGGCGCCACACATAACCACGTCTCTGCCTCTCTTTTGTTTTCCTCTCATCGCAATTTCTAATGATTCACATTAATAACACAACAATCGCAAGAGTGAGTGAATGATGCTTATCGATCGGAGTTCGTCCGACGCGCCTTTGACGACAACTCAGGCGACGAGAAAATCAGAGGAAAGGCTCAGGTATGTGTCACTTTGCTTTTTGATTCACTCATCTTCTTCTGCTTTTTTTCCACTTCTTCGCTATTTCTGCGTTTTTGTTGTTGTCACGCGTCTTTGTTTTGTGTCTGCGGTGTTGTGTTGCGGAGAAATGAAGTTGATGTTGCTGCGTTTGTGAAGAAGATTGAAGATGCAGTGTTATTAAGGATTCCGTTGCAGAGATTGATAATGTTGCGATGTTTTTATAGAAGTTGTGATGAAATTGCAGAAACGATGAATGAATGTGATTGAAGATTCGGTTATGGAATAGCAGTGGTGCGGTTGATTGAATATTGAGGACGTTGAAGGTTGTTGAAAGAAGGTGCAGTGGCGGTGAAGATGATGAAGAGGGTAAATATGGAGTTAAGAGGGAGAGAGAGAATTGAAGGTGAAGTTTGTGGTGATTCTTCAGAATTGTTGAAGAATGAATGATGAATGAAGAGATGCGGGTTTGTATAGTCGATGAAGATGGAAAAAGTTTGTTACAGATCAAGCAATCTTGGCCTTTGGATCTTTGAGTTGGTTAGAAGATTGAATGGTGAGGATTGATATGTTGAAAGTTTGTTATGAAGCTTGCTGAGATGTAATTGAATTCCTTGTTTCTAATTTTCTCCGTTTTTATTCTGATTTATATTTTCTTGTTTTGGTCTCTTTTTCGAACTGGTTTGATGCAGGTTATTTCTGTTTGGACTGGTTTGGGTTAATGAATGTTGGAACCAGTTTTCTTTGTAGGTGCAGTGCTTGGCGGTTTTGAATTGTTTCCTTTTGGTTTAGATTTTATTTATGTTTTTGTTCACCTGTACAGTGAGTTTAATCATGATTTTGGCTCTAATTTCGTGCAATTGGCAGCTGACATATGATACCAGCTTTGAAATTAACTCTTAGCACAAATTCCGAAAGGCTTTGCTCAAAGCTTTGGTCTGATTTTGACAAGTCTTGATGGCATGTGATAAAGCTGCTGTTTGTGAGCACCGCCACACTTTTGGTTCATGAAAGTTTGGAGCATAAACTTCGGTCTTAGATTTAGTTAGCTTAGAAACGTGTTCCTTTATATATTATCTTGTAAAGCACAAAATGTTTAATACCTTGTAGCTCAAGTAATAAGTGCACCTTGAATTGATGAAAGATGAATTCCCCAATAGATACACCATGTCTTCACCAAATTATAAACACAAGCATATGAATAGTTACTTGAACTAAGAGGCACAAGGAAGTCCTTATATCCTCATTCAGACCTTTGAATCTTTGTGAAGAAAACATCTGATCATATTTTGAAGGAAAACCTTAGCTTGGTGGAGAGAAAATGCCTTGAGATAGCCTATGGTTAAACCTTAATCCATATATGAAAACCTCAATCTTTGATATTGGATAGGGAAATAAACCCTAATCATTGACCTTGGTGAATTTGGATGCAGAATAGTCCTTACAGCTTGATGAAGAAGAAATCCATGATAACCATGCTTCAAAACCTTAACTTCACAAACCATGAACCAGCTAAAACAAGCTTGTGTGAAGATGAGGGCTTTAAAGCAATAAAGAAACCCTAAATTTCAAAGTCCTTGATCACATGTTAAATTTATTGATTAATGATGCATGATATGTTAAATGACATAATGTAAAAGTAATGCATATGAGGAGAATGAGATGCATAAGCCAAATAATTTGATAAAAGATAAGACAAATTTGGAGTATGACATCTCTCTCTAAATTTTTTACTTTCTCTCACTAGTTCTTATAGACAAATGCTTTTGTGAGAAAAGATCTTTTGTGAGTGAGGTGTTCTTGTAATTCTAGAAGGGTATAAATGTTTGAATTCACCAAGGTATTCATATTATAAACGTTTGATTAAATACTATTCAATTAGGGGTGTTTTATATATGTGGTTCAGAAGCTAAACCTGTTAAAAGTTTTGGTTGAGAATTGTGTGATCAGTTCCTCCTATGTTTATTTAGGTTAAAGATCGTCAATATTGATTAACTTTTTTTGGCTCTTAGTTAGCCTTGTTTGTTTATAGGTTGAAGATCATCAATATTGATGAACTTACCAATGGGTCATGGTTAGCCTGTTTAAAATCATATGTCAGAAGACCAACCTGTTAAAATCTTAAGAGGTTGTTTGTTATCCTGTTAAATCAATTGAGCTCGGTTATTTTGTGGAACTTGGAGACTAACCACGACATGATCCATGTTAGTGGAGTGAAGACTAACCGCTTCAATCTATAGTTAGGAAGGAAGCTTGATCATTTTAGTCTAAACAATTTCAGTGGAGAAGACGCAAACGTTCATATCTTGTGTCTTGTATTTTATGGTTGTGTTTCTACTATCATTTCCTTTCATAAGGGGGTTCATTAGTCTTTCCTACTAAAAGCTCACAAGCATATAATGGAAACTCTCAAGATCAATTCTTGGGGAGAAAAATATGTCTCTTTTATATATGACCAAACCTTTATAACTCTTGGTGTTCTTCTTCTTACTTTAACTTTTTAAACTCTGCATTTTATTTCAATAATTATTTTTCCGCTGCTTAGTTTTTAGAAAAATGTTTTCAAGCTCTGATTTAAATCTTCAAAAGTTTTCAAAATCATGTTTTTCCAAATCACACAATTCACCCCTCCCCCTCTTGTGTGTGAAGTCTCAAGTCCAACAACCCTCAATTCAGCAACATGGGCTTCAGGGCCAACATGGGTTACCAAAAAGGAACAATCCTATAAAGGATGTACTCTGGAAGGGGTCCAAAACCGCGGATATTTGGTTCAAGATATATTAATCCTCTGCCACTCGTCCGAGTTGTATGATCACTCTGCATTCAAATATTCACAAATACTGGTATACCTTCATGTATGCCCAACTAGCAGAATGAAATTACGAAGAAGTCATTGCCAAATTCTTCAAAACCTCTATCTCGAAGGCGGTAAAGAGGAGACGAAGACCCATAACAAAGAAAATAGATTCATATAAGGGAATTGTGTAAATGACATATTTATTGCATATTCTTTCATCTTATGAAGGACTAAAAAGATTCTTCATTAAAAAAGTTGATCAATTTTTGTAAAAACGTCATCCAGACCACTCACTTTCATAAAAAGAATAGAAACAATACTAAAATAGATAGACTTACTTAAAAAATAAAATATTTTTTTGTGATAATTTTTCTGTGATTTCTTGTGAATATTAATTTATTTCTTTTTAATTAATGTTAAGGATAAATTTAGTTATTTTAAATTATCCTTAAAAAAACTAATCATTCGTTTTAAAACAATATGATAATTTAAATATAGACTAAATATCTCAATTTATCTTCTCATACATCAAAAACTATTTTAAATTTTTTCATTGATAAGAAAGAGTCCTCTAATTTTTGTCTGACTAAAACTTTTTTGTCGATTAAATAATTATCCCTTCAAAAATAAGTAATACTCATAGCCCTAGGTTGACAACCTTTATCCATATCCAATTATTCATATAGTATTTAATTTAATTTATTCAAAACATTGTGCAGCTGCTAGCGCCATACATAGACATAACATGTACTAGTGTTTAGAAGCGGCGCGAATATAGTCGCTCACATTTTTAAACGGGTAGCATACGTAGCATGTGATTATTTTTATCTTGGAATACGCAGCGTCGCTATTAATAAATCACATCACGTAAAACACGTGCTTAAATTAAAGTAGAAAAAAACAGCGGCGATGTTTCATAGTATTTCTTGTGCTTTACGTGTTTGTTTTATAATTACAGAAGTGCTCTCATCAATTACGCAATCCCACTCATTCACCCTATCTCTCTTCCTTATTTATACATATAGCATAGCAGTGATATAAGTCTAACGCTTTCTTAAAAAATTTCTCTGTTCACAACACTTTTGTGTCGTTGTTATTGTTGAAAATGAAGAAGAATTTGAATCTGGAACTTCGTCTTTTCACTACTTCCAATCTTCCTATCTCGTAACCATCTTTTCAATTTTATTTCTTTCTTGTTTCATTTAATGTATTCTGTTTTTAATTAAGTTTATGTTTTATTTTATTTGTTTAATACAGAATGAAAGAAGAAGCACAAGATCAACAGCAACATCGACCGTTTACCATTGTCTATGATGGCAAAGTTTGTGTTTCTGATGCTACTGAGAATCAGGTGTGTTTTTATCTGATCTTATTCTTCCATATAATACTACTACTACGAGCTAGTAGTTATCTACTTTTGAGAGTGTGCAACTTTTGAGTTGCTCCTACCTTCCACCTTTTGCTCTTTGGCCATACTTTTTATTTGATACTAGTACTAAATTACATTCATTTATGATAAATGTATATGCTGAATATACCTTAAAATACAAGTGAGAGAAAGTCATAATCTTGGTACTAATAAGGGACAAAAACCTTAATGCAAACAAGTTGGTGATAAGCAATTCCAAAATAAACAAGATTTAAAAAGCATGTGGTCTATATCTAAATGTCCTTGTTTGAAGTGATAGTTGGCCAAATTTACAAAAGCATTGCACAAACATTTGTTGACCACAAAAATTGGACACAGCTCTATTTTGTCCATTTTTTTTCTCTCAATATAAATAATAGCATCATCATTAGGTTATAGCTTGACCAACTATTATTAGCAATTAATTTTTCACGTGGAGTGTTATTTGAATTAAAATAGGAATTAAGTGGGGGTAATATGAATTGGATGCAGGCCAGGTCTATTCTAATGCTTGCAAATAAAGAAATGGAGGAAAGAGTGAGGACACCAAGTGGATCATCATCAGAGCCATCTTCACCAGCAGTATTTACTAACTTGTATAGTCCTGGAACTTCTCATTCCATGAAAAAATCATTGCAGAGGTTTCTCGAAAAAAGGAAGAATCGGATCCAAGAAGCATCACCTTACCATTTTAATGAGCAGAATTGATTAATTAGATCAACTACAAATGAATGTTTTGGTTTAATTTGGTGTGTTAGAGTACTATATGTAGATATTACTTCATACATCCTTGTGCACTGCTGTGAAATTTTCATTTTTTTTATGTTTGGCTTTTTGGTATGTGAGACAAGATTTTGAAGTTTGTTCATGACTTTACTATCCGAGTCAGTTGTTTGAACTCCCAGCCAATTGAAAATTGACTTCCACTTTTTTTTTTTGTCTTTGGACAAGAAGCTAACAAATAATGATATGATTCAATTTGTCTAACATACCAAATACAACTTTTTCTATTGACATCCCTTAACACGGCCTCTTCATAGTTTCAATCTAGATGGTAGTCTACTCTATTACGGGTTTGTTTGATTTTGTACACTTAGAAAACGTTGCAAGTTCCCTTGCAACACAAGCAAAATGTTAAATTTTTTTGCTTTTGGTTAATTACTTAATTAATACTTTCTTAACCATTTAAATAATTTTATCATTGTAAGTGAATTTTAATTCCATTTTAATAGTATCTTTCTCCCTCAACTGCTCTCTATTCTGCTCTATATTCTTTCTTAATTTCCCTAATTTGTAAGTAATTTAGAACTTAAATTATCTAACAAATTGGTATCTAAAACACATGTTTGATCTTGAATCTCCATCCATACAAATGAGAGTACAATCTTTAATCAGTTCCCGATCAATCTACCACTAGTTTTTAAGAGAAGAAAACTGTGATAGATGGTGTGCAGAGATGAAAGTGATAGACAAATTTTAAGATGTGTTTGAAATTGTGAATGATGGTTTCTCGGCATTAGAGGCAAAAGATACTGAAGTGCAAAGAGCCACTCTTCGTGAAATTAACAAGAAAGATGGGAATGGCTTGTTCTTGATCCATCAGTTTGGGGATTCAAATGTCTTAGAGAAGATCATTGAGAAAGAAACGACCAAAGATGCATTCTCAAGAAGTTATATGGCAGATATGGGAAATTAAAGAAAGCGAAGTTGAGATCCTTGAAGAAATAATATGGGAACTTGCAGATGAAATATGGTGAAGCAATTGCTAAGTTTTTCTCGAAATTGGTGGCTTTGATCAATCAAATGAAGTTGTGTGTAGATAAGATTATTGAATTGCATAAAATGGAGAAGGTTCTAAGATCTCTTCCAGTCAAATTTAATCACATTGTTGTGGCCATTGAAGAGTTTAAAGATTTGTCAAAAATGAAGCTAGAAGAATTGCAACCATCTCTTAAAGCTCATGAGTAGATGTTGAAACAGAAAAATTCAGAAAATGTGTCTAAATAAGCTTTTCATGCCAAATTTTTCAAGAAAATGAAAGAAGACTTCTCAAAGAACAATAACAACAAATAAAAATGGAATAAGAAATTGAATGAAAGTGATGGTAAAACCAATAATTCAACATGAAACTAGAAAGAATGATGTTTCTGACAATAAAAAATTCAAAAACAAGATGGAGATGAAGGAAGTCCAACATTATTGTTTCCAAAAGTTTGGACACTATGCTAGAGACTATTAATTTAACAATGACTCGAAGGAGAATGACAAAGGTGTAGCCAAATTTTCTCATGCTGGAAGTAGTGATTCACAATAAGTCATTTTGATGGCTGATACGCAGCTGGCTCAAGATAAAACCAATGTTTAGTACCTTGACATAAGTTACAATAATCACATGATTGGAAATAAATACTAGTTCAACAAGCTTGATGAATTAGTGAGAAGGTCTGTTAAGTTTGCAGATAATATCATGGTCACATCAAAAGGAATGGTGAACATTCTTATGAAGAAGAAGGACAAACAAAAAAGCTATCATGTGTGATATGTTGTATGTTCTTTCTCTGGCAAGCAATTTCATCAACTTGGCTCAATTGCTTAACAAAGACTACAAAGTGAGGCTAGAAGATAAAGATCTCACTGTGTTTTATGGAAGTTCCAAGCTAATCTTAAAGGCCCCCTTGTCAACCAACACGACATTCAAGATTATGATCAATATGTTAGACCATCAATGTCTTGCATCAACCATAGTTAAAGATCAAAATTCTACACGGCATCAAAGGTTTGGCCATCTAAATTTTAGAAGTCTCAACTTGATGCACATAAAGAAGATGGTGTATGGCCTTACCAATACCATAATTCCAAAGTAGCAATGTGAGGAGTGTTACATTGTAAAGCAGGCTAGAAGGTCATTTAAACATGACTTGCCAATGAAGTCATAACAAAAAATTGGAGATAATGCACTCAGGTGTGTGTAGTCCTGTTGTACCCCAAAATTTTCTCTCTCATTTCTCAAGTAATTTCTCACAAGATCTCCTTTGATTCAAGACTGCACAAGGGTTGATCAGCTCAAGACACCTCCTTAAGCAATGATGACTGAAAATTAGGGTTTGAGTTTGCACAAGGACAACTGGAATTTTAATGCCTCATATGAATTTCATGGATCATTTTGGACCCTAAATATTGCTCATGTTAAGTTTCAAGTCTTGGATCACATTTTTGCTCAGTCAATTGATCAATTGACCTAAAAATCAACTATATTGGGGAAAAAGTCAACTGTTATCAATTTACAGTCAAACTTCATAATTTTTTATCTATATCAATATCATGAACTCATATATGTCAATTGATCAAGTTTGGATCACAATTCCTCAAGAAATTTGATCAGATCATCAAAAGGGCAAAATGGTCAAAATTAGGGTTTTGACTAAGAAGGTGCAATTTCTGATTTTTGACCTAGCAAATGACTTGTTGGTTTGAGGCATGATCTCAAGGATTCAAATGCTTCATTTTGACATAATGACATTGCTCAAAATATTCCTCAAGATCAATTGATTGACAGATGAATTTCAGTCAAATGATGAAAAGTCAATTGTACACTGAAAAGTCAAACTTTGACTTTTTAGTCAAAATCAAGTATCAAAGATCACATTTCATCAAAACATGTCAAAATATGAAACTTGTTCATCAAGAAATCAAAAGGTCAAGATTTCATTTTGAAAAGTCAAAATTTCTAAACTTAGAAAGTTTTCAAAGTGTTGGAAAATTCATATTTTTTCATAACTTTGAGCAAAATTTTCACCATGATGCAAGATGATTCAAAGGAAACTTCCAACATGAAAGTTGTATATCTCAATGAGATATAAGACATTGTAGAACATAACTTTTTCTAGAAATGCATGGATTTCAAGTTATGATTTTGTGAAGACATGTTCATGAAACTTAGAAACTTAGTGAAATTTTGCCCTAGTTTAGGCAGGATTTTGACCTAACTTCATGGAAATTTTTCACATAGTTCCAAGATGAATCTTCAAAAATGTCCAACATAAAGGTTTTATAGGATGTTACAAGCTTTCCAAAATGTCAAAGAACTCATTTAGATCATACTTGAGCAAGGAGAATCGAAGGAAAGACGTTAGGGTTTCATTCTTGAATTACAAGTCATTTCTTGATGAACACATAATCCAATCTCATTGTTAGGCTGCATAATCTTGCTTTGCATGCCTTCTAACTTGTGTATCTATCCATAATTAATGGATTACACAAACGTTTGATCTATAATCCAAGTGGTTTAAGCTTTATCCAATTCACATTGCCATTTTGGGAAGAAAGTGAATAATGCCATTCTTGAAAAGCAAGCTTTATGCACAAAGTCAATTCTCGAGTCTCTAACTTGTTCCCTCTGATCACACTCCATCTACAAAGTCAGAAGCAAGTGTGTTTAAAGCATAACCACTCTACCTTAGCAAGTACACAAGACTTTGAAACTTGATTTCTCAAAAAATCACATGTTGAGCTTAAACACGTGATTTTGAATTCTGATCAAGGACAAGCCTCCAAACTTGTTGCTTATAAATAAAGAAACTATTTGTGAGCTAAGACACGAGCATTAACACACTGAAACACTCCTAAAATCCCTCAAGCCAGAAATTGTCCAAAAACACTATTGTTGCACAGGTTCTGACCTTGAACTTGCAACTCATATTTCCCTCGTGCGTTTCTTGGCTTTTCACTTCCTAAAGCTTCCTTACATCAAATAAAACTCATCCTCATCCTTATTCCAGAACTGTAACACCATTTACCATAACCTCCATAACCAAAAAATAGAGTCTGCACATTGACTTCTCCAAGCCATTCTAGCCATCCATTGCTCAAGCTAATCATTGCATTAGCTTCCTGGGAACTTGAGGAAGCTAACCTGATCATCACAACAACTTGAATCAAGCTCTAACTCAAAACACGATCTCCAGCTGCAAGGTGAGTTTTCTGACTTTTCATCTCATTATTTAGGCATTGTTAGGCTTACATTTTCAAAGACCAAATGTAGATATCATTGCTCTGAAACTGTACATATCCATAGATTTCATTTATATTGCTTGAGTAATGAGAATTTTAAGTTTGAACTTGCTGAAATAATTAGGTCAGAATTTGGTACTTTTAGAAATTCTCATTCATCTTTGATTTATAGCTTTAGTTATTTATATGGTTGGATTCGTGAGAAAAAATGGAACAACTTTCATGTTTTCATATTTCATTTTTGTTGAGAAATGGTGAAGTTACAGGATCCATAGCTGAAGGTTGAAGATGAAGTTACATTCAGGGCAAGACTTGTGTTATGTATTATTTGTTTTGTCAATGTTATCGGATGTACAGTCACCCCAATGGCAAAGGTAGCGCGCGTGTATGTATGAGGTCAGGGGTTCAACACCAAGCGCTACCTTTTTTCCTTTTTTTCACATTTGTTCACTTTTTTTTTGTGTTACAGCAGCGCCTGGGCCCTAGATCATTGGGCTTGGTCTTTTTTGCTGGCTTATAACCCCCTGCTTTACTTTTGCACCCTTGACCCAATTTCTTTTATTATTTTCTTTTTATTTTATTTTATTTCTTTTTTCTTTATTATATTTTTATTACTATTATTATTATTATTAATAAAAAATCCAAAAATATTTTTATTATTATTTTCACACTTATTTATTTTATTTATAAAGACAAAA